GGCCCGGCCCGGCCCGGGGGAGCTTGAACAACCCCGGCGGGTGGATCGGACCCGGGAGGCCACCGAGGGCGGCGCCCGGTAGTGCCGAACCGGCTCTGTTGCCCCAGGGTGGGTGCGCACAGGCCTGGAGGGGGATCGCGCGCCCTCTGGGGGGGGCCCAGAGCTGGGGAGCGGGGCTGGGCCTGAGGGGACACGGGGGAGCTGCGGCAGCAGGGGGACACCGGGAGGAGACTGGCTGAGGGGGACTGGGAGAAACCGGGGGGTCCTGGGGCATCAGGCAGGACCAGGGGGAACCCAGCAAGATTTGGGGGACCCCAGGGGGATCCAGCAGCACTAGAGGGACATGGGGGCACCCCAGGGGGACTCAGAGGGACAGTGAGGACCCTGGAAAGGAACACACAGGATCAGGGGGACACTGGGTCACACCAGGGCAAGACATGGGGATCCCAGGGGGAGCTGGGAGACCCTGCAACACACTGGGGACATGCGGTGACTGGTGGGGACGTTGGGGGCCGTGAGGTGACCCAGGGGGGCACTGGGGACCCCGAGGGGAATGTTCAGGATGAGGGAGATCATGGGGCACACGAGGGTTACCCAGGGGGACCCCAGAGGACACTTTGAGCTGACTCAGGGTGATACTGGACATCCCGGAGGTCCAAGAGAGCGTTTTGGGGATCCTGGAGTGACCCAAAGGGACACTGGGGACTGTGGGGAGACCCCGGGGTGGCCCGAGAAGACACTGGGGACCGCAGGGGAACAGGTGACAACCAGACAGGGTGTGGGGCGCTTCATTAGCCCTAACGAAGCTGGGGGAGGGGCTTGGGGACATCCCTGTCACGGCTGCCACCCCCATTTCCCCCCGCCAGGTCAAGTTGCGCACTCCACACAAGTCGAACACAAGCAAAGGGGTGCCTCTGCTTCCCCCCCCACCCCGTGACGCGAGCCTGAGGAGCCAGCTGGGCTCTGAGGGAAGGCACTGGGCCGGAGAGCCCAACGCCTGGGTGACACATCACCGCCACTCACACAAAAGTGACCACGCGGAAGCTGCTGGGCCAGGCGAGGATGAGGGTCCAGCAGCAGCCCAGGCCCAGCGGTGTCTCTTCCTCTGCACACCCGCACGCCGCCTTCTCGCTGCGCAGCACCCGGAGCTCGCTGAGACGCGCCCTGTGCTGCAGCCAGAAGCTGGTGCCACACCTGCAGCCAGGAAGAGCAGGCGCTGATGGTGAGGTTGCCTTCGGTGGGGGCAGCTATGGCAGTCCTCCCTGGGAGAGCCTCTGCACCCAGACAGAACCCTGGGAAGGGTGGCTCAGAGTTGCTGGTCGCACAAACCCGCAACGTCCTGGCCGGGGAGACACCCTGACTCTTACAGCCCTGGTTTCTGGCCGCCTGACCCTCCCAAGGAAACCTCCCTGGGACGTTCTTGGACACTGGACCAAAGGCAAGCGTGAGAGGGCTTTGTGAGGCGTCACCTGAGGGCCGGTATTGGCGGCAGGAGTTGGGAAGAAAGAGTGCTGCCATCTTCTCCTCTTACCTGCGCTTGGCAAGAGCAAGGGCATCTTGGAAAAGCAGGTGTCTCCTCGTCCTCCCACGCCAGGTCACCTCCATGCAGTCACAGCGGGAGCAGCTTGGAATGCCGTTGGGACACGAGGACACCCAGCTGGCTGCCACCAGAGCTGCCCCGGCAAAGACACAGTGTGGACATAAGACCCGGGGCTCTGCCGGGAACCGGCCATGCCTGGTGCTACAGAGACAGAGCGGGGACGCGCCGGGAGAAGCAGGAGGTCAGCTGGCCCATCGTGCTGCGGCCAGGCAGACACCTGTGCTGTGGAAGTGCTCAGTGAGGGGAAGAGCAAGGCCCCGCAGAGCCTTCTGAGGCTGGCAGGCCATGTCCCCGTGCCAGGGCAGTGCTGCTCCCATCAGAGCCCGTCTCTCCCCAGCACTGCCCATGCCAGCGCAGCGCCGCACTGGGAGGCACCGGTGGCCCTTTGTGATGCGTGGGGGGTCATGCCCAGGGCGGGGGACAAAGAGCCGCTCCTTGCAAACAAAAGCAACTACATCCAAGCTAAGGGTCCTGACCAAGGCAGGCAGCTGCTGGCAGGAGTCACCTTGGAGCCAAGAGAGACACTTGGTGCCTGACTCCTGCCAGGTGAGCCAACGGCTCCTACTGCCTCTGCCTCTCCGCACATGATGACGTCCAGTCCTTCCATCTGGTCCCTCGTACTGGACCCAGGGCTCAGGCCAGACTTGGAGAGACTCTGGGGTGGAGAAAAATGAGTAACAGTCTGGATTTCCTGCTCCAAACAGGCTGTGGATGGACAATCCTCAGCAGCAAGGTGCTGTGGTTAAGGAAGACAAAATACCCGTGAGCCAAGGTCACAGGCAAGCACACCTGTGTCACCCCAACAGTCCCACCAAACCTCCTAGGCTCCCCGAGTGCCTTTGGTGACACAGCCCATTTCTCTGCTTGGGTGGGTCACAAACCTCCTGTCCCAGGGCACAAGCGTCACACCACAGGTCCTGCGTCCTCTCCGGCAGCTACCCAAAATGTTTTGTTGCCATTGGAGGCATGTCCGTGCCCCAGAACGTAAGCAACCCAGGAATCCAGGACCAAAAAGCCCAGATTTTGTCCCTAAAAATAACACACCTTAATGCTATCCCACCTACACCCTGCCATCCCGTAACCCTAACACCCCATACCCCCAGCTCACTCTAAGCCTACACCCCCATAACCCTGGCACCCAGTAACACTGGCTCTCCCTAAAACTACTGTGGGATGACCCTGGAAAACCATTACCCCAGCACCGCACAACCCCAGCACCCCAACTACCACGAGGCCCCCGAGAGCAAGGGCAGTCAGCAGCTGCTAGCCCCGGCCAGGCGAGAAGCCCGGGTTTCACTGGCCGGCGTGGGAAACATCAGCCCCGCGCGCCTGTGGGAGATTCAACATGTTAAGAGGCAAACGGACATCTGCCACTCAGCCCTGCGCAGGCCCGGGGAAGCAGCAGGGCTTTGAGGAGAAAGAGGCCTTGGAAGGAAGATGGGAAACTGGTACCCGCCGGCCGCCTTTCTGTCTCTCCTGACCGAATCATCGCAGTGACGCACAAGGCAGCCTGCTGAGTTCCTCACGAAGTTCCTGGCAAAGTTCCTGAAGGGAAGCTGCTACAAATACACTTGAAATTGCTAACGTAGAGAGACCTGTGAAATAGGACTTTTAGTTTTAACGTCAGACATCTTTTGTGGATTACCAGCTTGTATTTTTTCCTGTATTTTACTGTAATGTATGGAATTTCATTTATACGTTTTCCTCACTGCCCTCTGTGGTCGTTACCCAGTCACCCGCTTGTAAGATGTTTTGAAACCTTTAACTCCTTGCCTAGTGAAGATAAGACAGACCTGGGACACTCTGAAAAACTCCCCGAGTACATCCCTGGTAGCAGCATCCTCAAGAAAACAAAGGGCCTGAGAAGACGCCAGGGTCACAAGTGCTGAGAGCTGGAACAAACAGGAGCTGAAGGAGGGATGAAGTCACTCCGTGACCAGAGACGGACACGAGAGACCTAAAGTTCACTAAAGGGACAGTGCGAGAAAGGCCGTGGGGACCCCTAAGGAGGGGAGGAGAAGACCCTCACTCTGTTTTTACTACGCAAATGAGTTCTAAGAAGCCATGAGTATCAGACTGCCTTTTCCAAGGGATCTGGTGCCGATGTGTGCGCGATCCCCAGCGCCGTGAAAAGGAACCCTGTGAGCGGTTCTTCTCAGTCCTGGCTGGGGCCTCAAGCTCTTTGTTTCAGGGTTTTTGTCACTTTCCAAACTGACAATGAAATTTTAAACCTCATTATTTACCCGGTTTAATACCAACCACCTGTCCCCCACCCCGACCCCAACAGGATTTTTCCAAACAGATCAAAGATTTGTGTCTCCTTTGGCACAATTTGTGCCAAAAAAAAAAAAAAAAAAAAAAAAAAACCGGAGTGCCACTTTTCTGGCCTGGCTGGGGCCTGAGCTGAGGCCTTGGACTCCATAATTAGGGCTCTGAAATTTAAGGACGATCTTTTAACCGCTCATTGCCCACCACCAAACATAAATTTTACCATTTTTGAACAACAAAACCCAGAGGGTTTTGGTCGGCGCAGGCCCCAGTTGTCAGAGCAGGGCTGATATCGCTCCCCCAAGCCAAGTGATACCAGTTTTGGGGGGGGATTGCGCCCCAAAATATGGCTCAGGGCCGTGTTTTTGCCCCATCCCAGTGAAATAAAAACTGGGAAAATGTTTGGCAGAGACATTTTTCCTTGGAATGCTCCTTTTCTCCCCACACCACCTTCCCCCAGGGCTGCTAAGCCCTGTCCCTCTGCACCCCAAATCCTTTTGGGGCCTCTCTCCCCACTGGGTGCCCCCCTGGCCCTTTTGGGTGCCCCCCATGTGCCTGGGCGCCCCTTCAGATGCCCTGCCCAGCCCTTTTGGGTGACCCCATGTTCTTCTGTGCCCCTTCGAATGTCCCCCCAGCCCCCTGTGGGTGACCCCCCACAGCTCCTCTGTGCCCCTTTGGGTACCCCAGCCCTCTTTGAGTACACCCCCTCTCCATGCCCCTCTGGGTGCCCCCCCCAGACCCCCCCTCAGTGCCTTTTGAGCCCCCCCTGAGCCTTCCCCCTCCCTGCCACCCCCCCAGGCACAGAGGCCCTGGGGTCCGTCACCCCTCATCCCCATCCCCATGGGACCAGCACCCCTGTCCCCTGTCCCCCTCCCAAAAATCCCCGGGGGGTCCTTAAGGGATCCCAGCCAGCACTGGCCCCA